TGTTATACAACATGAATCTTAGGCCTTCTTCTGATTTTTTTAAATCCTTTTTTGTGTTTGTTCTTCTATCTTAGTAGTAGTGTTGAGAGATTTATCTTCTAGCTCACTAGTTCTAGTTTCTATCTTCATTTCTATTCCTTTGCCCTTTCAATGTATTGTCCATTTCTGATATTATATTATTAATTGTTTGGACCTCTTTCTGTAGGTTTTGAATGGTTTCCAATGCTCTATCTATCTTATTTGATTGTTCCTGTAGTGCTTTCCTGACTTCCTTATTTTTCTCAACTCCATTGTATTGTGTTTTGATACCTTTTATAATCATTTTTCTGAATTCTTTCTCATGCATTTCCAAAGCCTGTCCAGCTTCTAGTATGGATTGTAGGTCTACTTCCAGCTCATTTGTCTCAGTCACTTTATCTCACTTCTGGACATGTGCAGATATGGTCATCTGCTTCTGTTTTTGGGCATCTTCAGGGGTTATCTGTGGACATAATACTTAGATGGATATGTATTTTGGTATTTTTTATGCTTTCTGATTGCCTCCAGGTAGATGTGATCAGAAAATGGGCTTCCCTTTTCACTCTTCTTCCTGAGAAGTTTCAAGATACCACTGTTGGTCATTTTGATGTATTTAGGATTTAATTTTCAGCCTATTTCCTCTTTTGTCTGCTTGTCCCACTCCACAATCCCCGTTTAGGCCTTTTTTCTAGTTGGAAACAGTTCAGGGCCAGCTGTGGCCGTTTGGTTTTAATTGGAAACTGTCTCTTTAAATTTTGAGGAGATCTGTGCGCATGCGTAGTAGAACCCTCCGAGGGTGGGGCTGGGGTGCCCACTAGCTCAGGCACCCCTATAGTCACCAGAATGGAGGTGCGCAGATATCAAGGGACCAGTGAACAGATACCAAAAGAAAAGAATGTCCACACCTTTATCTCAGCGTTTCTGCCAGGCGTCTTTGGCCGCTCTGATCCTTCCCTCAAGTGGTCTCACCCAAGAAGGCGGCTCCTGGAGCAGCCAAGTGTCCCGGACTAGAAAGCAATAGATTTCTTGCTTCTGCCACAAATTCCACCAGCTGTGAGCCTTCCAGCCTTCTAAATATTCCTTTATATGTGGTTCAGAGTTCTGGGACCAGCCCCTGAGCCTGCTTGGTCGGGTATTCTGTGTTGTTGGTGGTGGAGCTCCTTTAGTGCACTTCCACCTGATCCGCCATCTTGTTTGTTCTCTTGCCACTTTGCTTTTTATGTATTTCAAATGCCTTCTCATCATGTGGTGGTGGTGATTATATGCTGTGGAGTCAGTTTTGACTCATAGCGACCCTGTATAGGGTTTCCGAAGCTGTAAATCTTTACAGGAGTAGAAAGCTCATCTTTCTCCTGAGGTTTCGAACTGTTGACCTTGAGGTTAACAGCCCGATTCTTAACCACTATGCTACCAGAGCTCTTTCTCACCATGTAGAACTAGAGTATAATTGCTCTATCAACACTTAGTGATAATTACTATGCATAAGACATTAAGTAAATGAGAACAGTGTCTGGCACATAGTAAGCATTGTAATGAAATGTTTGTTAAATAAATGAATGTCTGAGATCATGATCCAGAGAGATTATGTAACATTTGAAGTCATTTTTAAAACATATTCAATTGGGTTGTCTAAACTCTACACCTACTATGTTGACAATATTTTAGTAGAAAGTTTTGAAATAAAAATATATTTCTGGTTAACCTTTGGCACGCCAGAAAATTATGGCAGAAAAACCTTTTCTGAACATTCACACTCTGACATATTTCCAAAGATTAACATGAAACCATGGATATATAAATATTTTAAATGTCTGTTTGGCTAAGGTATTATAAATTAAGTTAAAATAAAATGAATTGGGGGAAAAACTTACAAAGCAAAAATTTAAAAGAACAGTTACAGACTCATAATAAAAAGACCAAGTACCTAGTAAGAAGATGGGCAAATGATGTGAACAGGCATTTCACAGAAGAAATAATGGTAAGTGCTGTTGAGTTGGTTCCAATTCATAGTGACCCTATATCCAGTGAAATGAAACATTGCCCAGCCCTGCACTTCACAATTGTTACTTTTGAGTACATTGTTACAGCTACTGTGTCAATCCATCTCATTGAAGGTCTTCCACTGTTTTGCTGGTCTTCCACTTTCCCAAACCTGGTATCCTTTTCCAGGGACTGTTCTCTCCTGATAACATGTCCAAAGTATGTGAGGCATCCTCACATCTAAGGGGTATTCTGGCAGTATTTCTTCTTCTGAGACAGATTTGTCCATTCTTCTAGTAGTCCATGGTATCTTCAATATTCTTCATCAACACCATAATTCAAAGGCATCAATTCTTTTTTGGCCTTCCTTATTCATTGTATGTAGCTTTTACATGCATATGAGGGGATTACTTGTAAACACATGACCAGATATTCAATCTCACTCATAATTTTTTTTTTAATGCATGCTAAAATAGTAAGAAGGGATCATTTTTCACCTCCTAGATTGACAAAGGTAAAAAGGAAGTCAAGTGTCAAGGTCATGCTTAAAGATAAGGAAAGATTAAGAAACTGGTGTCCTTGTGTAGCACCATAGGGTAAGCACTAGATCTCAAGGTCAGTTTAAACTGCAAGATCGGTGGTTCAAACTCAGCAGCCGCTCCTTGGAAACCCTATACAGGGTTGCTATGAGTCAGAACCGACTCAGCTGCACTTAACAACAACAACAAGAAACTGTTACAGACCAGAGGAATCTAAGGACACATGGATTAATAAATACAATGTGATAGGCTGGAGCCTATTTCTAATACTTTTTGTCCAGACATAACCTTATATATGGGTGGAGATACAAAGGTATTTACTGCAGCATTATATATCATAGTAGAAGTCTGGAAACCTTTTGAATGTCAATAATTAGGTAACTGATTAAAAAAATTAGGGTAAAGTCACACAGTGGAACTCTATATAGCTGTTAAAGAGAATGAAGTAGATATAAATATATTGATATAGAATTCTCTCCAAGATATATTGTTAAGAAAGCAATGAGTAGAATGGTTTATCACTTTTTAAATTTTTTATTAAAAAGGGCATATATACATACACACTAATATATGTACACCTGCAGTGCTTGAGGAAGCTTCAGAAAGTTGGTGGAAAAATGGAATTACAAAATAATGGAGGGATACATGCTGTTATTACATTGTGAGGATTACAGTCATTGAGATATAACAAAAGGTGTATGCATTGTTGAATAGAATACTGATCTGCTTTGTAAACTTTCATAAAAAGTTATAACAAAACAAAACATCCTATGGAGTGCAGTTCTACATTGTACACATGGGGTCACCATGAATCAGAGTCAGTTAGATGGTAACAACAAGAGTTGTTGTGAGGTGCCATCGAGTCGGCACCAACCCATAGTGACCTTATGTACAGCAGACCGAAACACTGTCTGATCCAGGGCCAACCTCACTACTGTTGCCACGCTTGAGTCCATCGATGCTGCCACATGGCCAATCCATTTCACTGGGGTCTTCCTCTTTTTCTCTGACCCTCCACCTTACCAAACATGATATCCTTCTCCAGCGACTGCTCCCTCCTGACAGTATGTCCTAAGTATGAGAGACTAAGTTTGGCCATCTTGGCCTCCAAGGAGCACTCTGGCTGCACTTCTTCCAAAACGGATCTATTGGTTCTTTTGGCAGCCCATGGCATTTTCAATATTCTCCTCCAACACCATAATTCAAAAGCATCAATTCTCCTATGGTCTTCCTTATTTACTGTCCAGCTTTCACATGCATATAAGGTTATTGAAAATACCATGGCTTGTAGGTCAGGCTCACCTTAGTCCTCAAGCTGACATCTTTTTGCTCTTCAACACTTTAAAAAGGTTTTGTGCAGCAGACTTGCCTAATGCAATATGTTGTTTGATTTCCTGACTGCTGCTTCCGTGAGTGTTAATAGATTTAAGAAGAATGAAGTCATTGACAACTTCAGTAGTGGGGGAAAAAAAGATAATGGAATTTTTGAAGCCCCCTCATATTCTGGTCCTGGTGGGGTGCTGGTAGTATAAGCACTAGACTGCAAAGTCAGTTTGAACCTCAAGGTCAGCAGTTCAGACCCACCAGCTGCTCTTTAGAAACCCCATACAGGGTTGCTATGAGTCGGAACAGACTTGACACTTAACAACAATATATTCTTTGAAATGAATATGAATATGAATTCTTTTTGAAGCCCCTTCATAGTCTCTGTATTATTTTACCCTGTTCATTTATTACTATATAAACAGAAACTAATTATTCTTTATAAATACATGAAATGAGGCCAGGAGGCAGAATACTTATTTATCTAGGAGTGGATTAAGTTATTTTCTCTTTCTGCCTGCCAAAACCATCTTTTCTAACCTTTTAACTTGAAAAAAGAACTTGCTTGCTGCCTTTGAATTGCTGTTAGCTGCTATTGAGTCAGCCTAACTCATGGCAATGCCCTGCACAAGGAAACAAAATACTGCCCAATCATGCACCATCCCTGGATTGGTTGGAGATCAGACCTTTGTGCTCCACTGGGTTTGCATTGGCTGGTTTTTCAGAAGTAGATCACCAGACCTTTCTTACTAGTCTATACTAGTCCATCAGAGTCTGAAACCTCTGCTGAAACGTGTTCTGTATGACAGTCCCAGAAAAGCCTCCAGTGACAGATGGCCCATAGCTGGGAATCTAATTGAGGTCTCCCACATGAGAAGGGAGGAATTTACTACTGAGGCACCACTGCCACCAGGCACCACGAGAGACACTTTTAAAGATAGGCCATTGTCTTGCAGTTTTCTTGGCTATCCAAATAGAGAGGAGAGTTACTCTTTTAATCCCTTCCTGGTCCTCTAACCCCTTCACTTTTATCCAGGTATATTCTGGCTGTTTCTGAGTCCTAACTCAGAAAGCTCATGGGATTTACTCTGATCGGCAATACATTGTAGTGACTGGATTATCTGTTCTCTCTGGACTCAGGATGGCCAGTGTTCCAGTGAAGGAACGGGTGAAGGTGTCTCAGAACTGGAGGTTGGGGCACTGCCGAGAAGGGATTCTGCTAAAGTGGAGATGCAGGCAAGTAGCCTCTGGACTCTTTTAAAGCTGCCTGGGTCAGGACAGCATGGTGGAAAGTGGGTAAAGTGGCACTGGTGATTGTATAAACACCATAGAAGGGAGTGTCAGGACAACTTTTTTTTATCACATTTAAAATAAAGATAAGACATGTACTGTATTTGAACAAATTACATATTTTTTCTGATGATAAAAATGATAAATGCTTATTAATAGAAATGTGAAACACAGAGAAAAGTCTCCAGAAGAGAAGAAAAATGTGCTTATAACACTACTACTCAGAGGTAACCATTATTATCTTATGCCATCAAAAGAAATAAAGGAAGCCAATATTTCAGCCCATCATGTTTAACTGTTCTTGTTCTTTAAATCTCTTACTCTAGGGAGTTACACCTTCACTCTTGGCTCTTCTACTTTATTAAAAGGCAAAATAAAATCTAAAGGTTTGGCTATATATGTTACAGGAGGCTGGGCTTAGAAAAATTGCCAGGAAATTTACATAATGGCTTTGGTGCTGCTACTGCCACAGATGTATGCTTCATCAATGCTAAATTAATTCATACTTTTTATTTGATTCCTTACGAAAACAAAAAGCAAAAATAAATAAACTCACTCCTTTTGGGTGGTTGGAATGCATAGGGAACATCCTGAATCCCCATTCCTGGTTGACCTGTACCTGTGCTGTTGGTCACATGAACCTTGCCTGCTTGTGTCTAATTTCTGCTGGTTTCACTAATATCAGTTGCTAGGAACTATAGGAGAGCAAGATGGATTTTTATGATGAGAGTCTTTATTTTCCCTGCTTCCCACTTTTGCTTTTTAATACCAGAAAGTTTAGTTTATTTCTCTATCAAGGTTTTGTCCCTGATGTCATTTGGGGCTGGTTTCAAGCAGTTTGGCAAATAAATACATGAGACCAGGCTGCACCGGAATTCTCTGCTCACCTGGCATGAACCTGGTTTCTTGTCTAGGCAAATGGCTACATACCAGGTGGCTCTAAACACATGGATATTGAATTACAAGCCCGCTGCCTGCTGCCTACTTGAGTGTGTCACACACACTCATGCAAGGGGATGTTGGTGAGGAATGTGCACAAGGAGTGAGAATACAGGCATCTGTACACAGTCTACACATGTTCCATGTAATATATGCACACACTTGTAAAAACCTCATGAGCAGAAACTCAGTTACTACCAAGTCCAAGCTGCATTTAATTGCCCGGCAAGTCAATTTGCAGAACTTTTCCACATTCCCATGACGCTTGTATAAGGAGCCTAGGGAAGAAACACAGCCCAGTTTGTTCAGACAGGCTTGGCAATGGGAGATGGTAAATGGGGATGAATCAGCTGTCTGTGTTTACTTGGGACCTGGTATCTTCAGGACCCCTATGTAGAGTAGGACAGGCTATTGGAATGTCTCCCTTGGGAAATGGGCTTTAGTCCCCACCAGAGAGTTCAGTATCTGGTAGAATCCTACTTCTTAAGGCTCTCTTCATGTCATGGAACTGGCCTGTGCCTTCTAACATTTGTTTCTCTTGCCAGATTGTAGTGGGAATGTTTAACTATTAGTAGATTTCTCTTATCAGCTGCCTGTGAGAGCTGACTATTTTTCTGTAGCCCCTGAACTGTAGCAGACTGCTCTGGAGCTGTGTTTTTCCATTGCCATACTTACCCTCTAATACAGAAATGTAGATATCCCCTGTGAGGATCTAGGTATCTAATCAGTACATTAAGATCCTTTCCTAAATGGCTTTATTCCTATCACGTATGAATGGCCCCTGTACTCTAGTAGGATGAGGGAATGGAGCTTCCCTAGGGCTCTTTCTTCTCTTTTTTTCGATCACACCCTCACTGAGCTGTTGGAAAACAGGTATGTATGGAGTGTGGGAACATATTGCACTTCAAATTAGTGAGGCTGTCAAATGAAATAGTTACTTCACCCTTGGAATGTTACTTTTTGACCCTCCTGTTGTTGTTTTCCAAAATCTACTTACCTAGGAAAGTCTGAAGAGCCCAGCTAGCATAGGTTACGTGTTGTGGTTGTTGTTGTTATGTGCCGTGGAGTTGGTTCTGACTCATAGCGACCCTGTACAGGGTTTCCGAGGCTGTAAATCTTTACGGGAGCAGAACACCTAATCTTTACGGGAGCAGAACACCTTATCTTTCTCCTGCGGAACAGCTGGTAGTTTCGAACTGCTGACCTGAGGTTTAGCAGCCTGATTCATAACCACTACACTACCAGAGCTCCTTGTGTTGTGGTACGAACCACAAAATCAGTAGCTCAAATTAGCTGCTCCATGGGAGAAAAATGAGGCTTTCTGTTTCTATAAAGATTTAACAGCCTCAGAAACCCTATATAGGATTGCTATGGGTCAGAACTGACTTGACAGCCCGCAGCAGTGGAAGTCTAGGTAGCCAGTAATTCAAATCTTAAGCATTCTCCAATTACGAGTGATACTTAATTGGCCTTTTAATTCTGGTTCATTTTAGAAAGCCCAAAGAAGATTGGGTCTTCACAGAGTTTAATTACTCTAGTTTCTGAGGGTGGCCTAAGGGAAGATAATTTTCAAGAGGGGGTGTGGGTGCAGGGGAGTAAGGTGTAGACTGTTACCCTTGCAGGTTGTTGCTTGGTTGGGATTGGTCAGTCTCTCCAAAGATCCAAGTCCCATTTTTATGCTGTATCACGACCCTTATCTTTTGTTTTCTATCTCTTCAGTCAGATGCCCTGGATGCAGCTAGAGGGGGATTCTCTGTACATATCCCAGGCTAATTTCATCCTGGCTTACCAGTTCAGACCAGATGGTGCCAGCTTGAACCGCCGGCCCCTTGGAGTCTTTGCTGGGCATGATGACGATGTTTGCCACTTCGTGTTGGCCAACTCACATATTATCAGTGCAGGGGGGTAAGTGCTGCAGGCTCTTCTGCCACCCTCTTCCTCAGTGCTTGCTCTTCAGGGACTTTTGTCTGCCTCTGACTTTTCTGTCTCAACTCCAAAGGGATGGGGAGAGAAACCAGAAGAAGAGGTTTTTGCTTGTTTGTTTTGTTTTTCCATTTAAAGCCAAGAGATTTAACAAAGGCAGCTGGTTGGGTCAGCTGGAGAAGGAAATCAGGAAGAGCCTTTACTGAAAAGTGAAGCTGGTTTTGATGGAGTCCTGGTGTGGCACTGTGGGCTAATGCATCAGACTGCAAAGTTATTTGAACTGCAAGGTCGGTGGTTCAAGCTTACCAGTTGCTCCTTGGAAACCCTATAGAGGGTCATTATGGGTCGGAATCGACTTGATGGCACTTAAAAACAAGGGGAAATTTGTTTAATCTCTCAGCTCTGTTCAGCCCCAAGTGTGCTGAAGAAGTAAAGGTGTCTAGAGACTCAGCACCTTATTGGACTGGAATTACTAATGCTTGGCAAATTTGGGTATTATCAGAGACTTTCTGTAGACTTGTTTGTTTTCTACAGTGAAAATAATTGGCTATTGGGGATGAGCTTCTTATTTTTCTCATAGAGATGGGAAGATTGGTGTTCATAAGATTCACAGCACCTTCACTGTCAAGTACTCAGCTCATGAACAGGAGGTGAATTGTGTTGATTGCAAAGGAGGCATCATTGTGAGTGGCTCCAGGGACAGGACGGCCAAGGTGAGTTGGTCTCCGCCTTTACATACTGTTATTCCCTCCTGTCTGTAGGGAAGGGGTTGGAAGGGGTGGATAGAGACTTGACTCCCAGGATTGGCAGAAAGCATTGGGTGGGGGCAGGGGGGAAATGACACAATAAAGGACTCACTTATGTGCCTCTGGCATGCATCTTGCCATGCCAGGCTGTCTCTTTGCCAGCTGGACTGGAAAAGGAGTGGACAGTGGCTGGGAAACTTGCCACTCACTTGAAATGTGGCGTGAACTCAAAAACGGAGGGCCTGGCCAGCTTTTCCTCCCTGAGCTGAGTTTCCTCAAGTTTGTGGGTTGAGTTCTGACCCCAACATTTTATTTTAAAATCTCCCTTCTTTTGGTTGCTCTCTGTTTAGGGAGGTTAATTTTTCACCACCTTGTGTATAAGCAATCAGGCTGATAATTAAAATGCGTTTATACTGCTTCTCTGGAGGGTGATGTGGTCAATAAGCAGTAGAAAGAGAATAGGGAAGGGTGTTATATGTTACATCATTGCCAAATTGCCTTGTCTGCAGTCAAACATCCACCAAGACATAAAAGAGTGAGAACGATAAGTGGTGGAATCCTTGCTTTATGGACTCAGCTCATTCATGTGTGAGTCAAGCAGTCTCCCACCATGAGACAGAGAAGACCTTTTCTCCATCCTTGTGTCCTGCAGCCCTGGTCCTTTGAGGTTACTGTGAGAACTTTGCTGTCAATGGTGCAGGAGGCCCAGTGGTATCTTGTCTGTTTTCCAGCGTCTGGAGGCTCTATAGTGCTTACAGATGCAAAATGCTTATTGGTGTCAGCAAGTGGGGTTCTAAGACACATAGGGAGAAGACTGGGGAGAGGGAAATTACAATCTTTCCTTAGTAACTTTTCTGACTCCATGTACCCTCTGGTGATTGCTTCTTGTAGAATGTCTCTAATTTATTTATAAAGAAGAGTTAAGGATGTTCCTTGTTAATTATAGAAGTTTCTCTTCTTTGCTATTTTCTTTCTTCTACTTTATATTCTGTCAAAGAGACATACACGTCAGCACAGGCAGCCTGAGAAAAATCCAGCAAATCTTCTGAACCAACATGGAATGGAATTTCTTGTCATCTACTTCTTCCCATCCCTTCACCCCATAGTTATTTCAGGTTTCTGATTGGTCACTGTATTTAGAGCATTCCTTGCAAAGATACTGACTATGGTACTGCTCAAAATTCAATTTGCATGGAAACTTTTTGTAGTATGTGTGACCTAGATATTCCTGTCTCTTCTGGCATCTCCCTAGCACCAACTTTCCTTGGTTCTGCCTTTTTAGTGACAACTCTTTTGTTCTATCCTATTTTCTATGGTCTATGCTCTATGACCACAGTCAACAATTCAGGGATGTGCACTGCTTGCAATTGGGGAATAATAGCTTTTTTGTTTGGTGTTTGGGGTTAATCTCATGTTTTGAGTATTAACTCAGACCTAGTTAGTGGTTTAAATGTTTTTAAGCATGGAATTAGGTTCTTCCTGGTTCTAAGATTCTGTCACTGAAATCCACCCTCCCTTTTTTAAGGTTTCCTTTAGATCAATGACTGAACTCTCATCTTTGGTTCTTCTTCAGCTCCTGAAAGCTGCCTGCTGTGCTGGGGCTCCCCTGTGACCTCTATCTAGTTCAGCTCATCTTCTCTGCTTTCTGGATGCTGTTTGGGTTCCTTTCCTTTCTGTTCTTGTCTTTGCTTCTAGCAAAGACATCTTCCTGGCCCATTTTTACATTACCTGCAGTTAGTCTTTGATAATCACCTCTCCATTTCTTTTTTAATGGCATCTGCAATTCTATAGCCACTTCTGCAAGCTTCTAATACACCTGAATCCCCCTAAGAACTCATAGCCATGTTGGCCTGTAAACATCTGTAGCCCATTTTTCTTTTTCTTTTTTTAAATTTTAGTGTGTGGGGGGCATGGGGCATAGGGAATTTTCCAAAGATGTACTAGAAAAGAGAGATTCGTTTTACTAGCGTTAAGGAAACAAGAAAAATTTCTCTCTGTAAGACTTCTGAGTCAGGAACAGTTCCTTCAACCCTGGTTTCAGACTTACTGTGACTTATCTTAGATTACCTCTCTGGGCTTCAGTGGAGTTGGCCCCATCCTGAGTTTTAACCAGATGGTAGCTTACATTCTTGATGGGTCTGGACTGAACTGACCACTTCATTTCCTCCTACATAAGTCTGTCCATTCTTTCCTTCATTCTTACAAGTGCTTACTCTATGTGAGCCTTTGTGCACTAGGCACCTGCGTTCATCAAAGGTAAAGAGATACAGCCTCTAGTCTTTAAGGAAGCTGACGCATAAGTGCACATGGGTAAGAAGGTGATAGGCAGTGGCCTTGGTTGGGAAATATTATGGCTCTGGGGAAAGGGCCAGAGAGTTCAGAGGGTAAACTTTGGAAAGGATGACTTTATGGAGCAAAGAGCATTTGAGCTGGTGGTTTTTTTTGTTTTTGTTTTTTTCTTTTTAGTCATTTTTCAATAGAAAGGCTTGTTTTATAATGTTATTAGGCACTGTGCTAAATAAGCACTTTATATTTATTGATTTTCTTATTTTATCCTTTAGGGTATATTTTCCCCCTACATAATTGTGCTTATAATGTATTTTGGGTACACAATATACTCAGCTGTATCTAGTTTATTTTATAAGGGTTCCATTATTATTACATTTTATTTGTCAATGTCATCTGTAAGTACCAACCACTAATGCCAAAGATGAAAAAAATGGAAACTTTTTACAAACTCCTGCAGTCTTAAATTGATCAAACCTGTAATCAAGATGCGTGGATAATTACTAGAGATCAGAATGTGAAATTTGGAAATGAAGAGGAATCATCAATTGTTGTGAAATATCATCTTGATGATAGAAACAGTATTGGAGATCACACAATAGAATTTTGCAAGACAAAAACGTATTCATTGCAAATACCTTTTTCTAACAACAAAAATAGTGACTATACACGTGGACCTCATCAGATGGAATACACGTGAATCAAATGAACTCCATCAGTGTTAAGGTACAATGGAGAAACTCAATATCATCAAGGTGAAGAAGGCAGGGACCTCCTGCAGAATAGACTTTCAGTTGCTCATGTACAAGCTGAAGCTGAGGAAGATTTAAAAAGTCCGTAAGAGCCAAGATATGACCTTGAGTATATTCCAACTGAATCTAGAAACCATCTCAAGAATAAGTTGGCAAGAACAAGCAAATTGCTCACCCAGGAGACATCAAGGCAAGTGTTCAGGCACCCTCAGGGCAAACCCCCTTCTAAGATTAAGACTTAGTGGGAATACATGCTCTGATTGGTGACCATGTTCGTCACCGATAAGGGAAAGTGAGGGAAAAACAGCAATGAAGCTGTGAGCTAAGCCCTACAATGTTCAGTAGACTCTTGTGAACCCAGGTGGAGACCTGGTTGGCCAGCAGTGTGGCAAGACCTGGGGACTCTTGAGCCCAGAGTCAGTGACATAGCCACAGAGGACTAGAGTAGAGAGTGAAGCGTCTAACTGATAAGAGAGGGTATATGCATAAGAACACCCACACTTGCAGATAATACCCACTTGACCTGGCTTCAATGACTGGATGATCAGAGCTCAACTAGAAGAAGAAAGAAGAGGAAAAAAAGAGTAATCTAATACAATTTGATGAACTTGTCCTATACCTGTGAATGCAGTAGCTCAAAAGAGGGAACAAATCTTTACAGTGAGGATCATTCCCACCCGCTCTGTACACAGAGTAGACAGGGATGGGCAACTTGGACATTGGCTACCCAAAATGGAGGGCCTACAAAGGCAAGAAGTGACCAGCTTACAAGCTTTCAAGAGGGAACCTAGATCCAGAGGGCCTGGAGGAAGGTAGAATCTACACTGAGTAGTATCCAATCTATCTGGGTGGGGCTGATGAAAGGAGATGTGGATAGGTCTTTTGTGATACAATAGTGAATAATTGTTATCAGGACTGACTGTGAGGGTTGGAAATGTAAAGGTAGACCTTTTGTAGCAAAAGGAGGAGAGTGATTGACTTTGCAGTCTAGGAGCGGAGGTCCCTGGGATCATTAAGAGAAGAGCGGAGAGCAGGACCCTACCCAGAGAAGCAGTGACACCAGAGATGGAGGCAGAGATGATGACGTGGAGAGATGGAGCAGCTGGGGACTTTAGATCCAGAGAGGGAGAGGGGCTGTGTGCTGACGACTGGGGGGCAGGTTTGCAGGGTATACCCTTTGGTTGGTTGATGATGCATGGAAGGGATTGTAACTATGGCAATGAAACGATATACGATAGGATGAATGTTAAACTAATGTTCTGCCATGTAAACTATCACATAATTCACAATAAAATAAGAAAAAGAATAAGTTGGATGCATTCAACACTAATGACCAAAGACAAGAGTTGTTGTGGGATGATATCAAAGACATCATACATGAAGAAAGCAAAAGGTCATTAAAAAACAGGAAAGAAAAAAGAAACCAAAATGGAGGTAAGGAGAGACACTAAAACTGGCTTTTGAATGTAGAGTAGTTAAAGCAAATGGAAGAAATGATGAATTAAAAGAGCTGAGCAGGTTTCAAAAGGCAGTTCAAGAAGACAAAGTATTCTAATGAAATGTACAAAGACCTGGAGGTAGAAAACCAAAAGGAAAGAACACACTCAGAATTTCTCAAGTTTGAAAGAACTAAAATAAAAGATTCACGTCTTGAGTTGCAATATTGGAAGAGTCTAATGGAGTCCTGGTGTGGCACTACAGGATAAGCACTGGACTGTAACTGTAAGGTTGGTGGTTCAAACCCATCAGCTGCTCCTTGGAAACTGTATACAGGGCCACTGTGAGTTGAAACAGACTCGATGGCACTTAACAACAACAATAACATAGTCAAAATATTGAATGATGTGCGAAGCATCAAAGGGAGGAATATGCAGAGTCACTGTACCAAAAAGAATTGATCAGTGTTCAGCAATTTCAGGAGGTAGCATATGGTCAAGAACTAATGATATTTAAAAAATAATAATAAACTAATGATATTGAAGGAAGAAGTCCAAGCTACGCTGCGAACATTGGTGAAAAACAAGGCTTCAGTAATTGATGGGATATCAATTAATATGTTTCAGCAAATGGATGCAATGGTGGAAATGCTCACCAAGAAATTTGGAGACAGCTACTTGGCCAGCTGACTGAAAGAGAGATCCATATTTGTGCCCATTTCAAAGACAGGTGACCCAATGGAATGGAAAAATCATCAAATAATAACTTTAATATCACATGTAAGTAAAATTTTACTAAAGATAATTTAAAAATGGTTGCAGTAGTACATCAACAGGGAACTGCCAAGAATTCAGGCTGGATTTAGAATAGGACATAGAATGAGGGATATCACTGCTGATGTTTTGGCTGAAAGTAGAGAATACCAGAAAGATGTTTCATTGACTATACAAAAGGATTCAACTGTGTAAGTCATAACAAGTTATGGATAACATTGAGAAGGATGGGAAATCCAGAATACTTAATAGAGCTTATGTGGAACCTGACCATAGTACAAGAGGCAGTTATTCAAACAGAACAAGGGAATAATGAATGATCTAGAATCAGAAAAGGTGTATGTCAGGGCTGTGCTGTTTCACCATATTTAATCAAACTGCAGACTGAGCAGATCATTTGAGAAGCTGGACTATATGAATATGAACATAGCATCAGGACTCATTAACAATCTGTGACATACCAATAGCACAGCCTTGATTCAGTAAAGAAGACTTGAAGCATTTACAGATGAAGATCAAAGGCAATAGCCTGCAGTATGTATTACACCTGAACATAAAGAAGACAACGATCCTCACAACTAGACCAATAAGCAACATCATGATTGGCGGAGAAAAGATTGGAGTTGTAAAGGATTTCATTTTGCTTGGATCCATAATCAGCATCCATGGAAGCATCAGTCAAGAAATCAAACGTCATATTGCATTGGGCAAGTCTTCTGCAAAAGACCTCTTAAAAGTGTGAAAAAGCCAAGATGTCACCTTGAGGTTTAATGTGTATCAAAGCTGTGATACTTTTAATCACCTCATATGGATGTGAAAACTGGACAATGAATAAGGAAGACCCAAGAATTACCTTTGAATTATTGTGTTGGTGCACAATCTGTCTTGGAAGAGGCAAGGTTGGTGAGACTTTATCACATACTTCAGACATCTTAGGAGGAGCCACTGCTTGGAGAGGACAGCAAGCTTGAGAAAATAGAGGATCAGCAGAAAAGAGGAAGACTCTCAACAAGATGGATTGGCACAGTAGCTGCAACTGTGGGCTCAAACATGTGAAGATGGTACAGAACTGGGTAGTGTTTCATTCTGTTGTACATGGGGTCACTATGAATCTATGTACAACACTTAACGACAACAAATGGCTTCATAGTGGTCTTTCTATCATTTACTTATTCTATCTATGGGTGTTTGTATCAATTTTTTTCTTACAGTTGTAAGAACCACTATTACTGAATGTCTACTACCTACCAAGGAGTCCTGATGTGGCGCTATAGGATAAGCACTTGACTATAAGGGCAGTATGTACCTCAAGATCAGCTGTTCAAACTCACCAGCAGCTCCTCAGAAACCCTTTACAGGGCTGCTATGAGACAAACTGACTCGATGGCACTTAACAACAACAATAACTACCTGCCAAGTACTGTGTTACTAGTTAAGTGCTTAATGCCTGTTTTCACTTTCCACACTCTAATCCTCAAGATAAATATTAATTCCCACTTTACAAATGATGAAGCTGAGGTTAAGTGGTTATGAAACATATCAAAGATCAACGTTCATAAGTAGTTTTTGGTCTGGAGAAGGGAGGTGGTGGTCGAAACACTCGTCAAGCGGGGATTGGTGCTGCCTGTGGAGATCTGTGGAGGCCGACAGGATTTGTTGGCTGCCGTCATCCCCGCTGCCGTGTACTCAGTTAAAAACGACAACTAACGCCAACCAGGAAAGATCCAAGTCACAACAGTACTAGCCCTAGCATCATCAATGAAGATGTAATTATAAATCGTCATTCTCATGAAGATGACAATCCATTTGCAGAGTACATGTGGATGGAAAATGAAGAGGAATTCAATAGACAAACAGAAGAGGAGTTATGGGAAAAAGAATTTATTGAACGCTATTTCCAAGAAATGCTGGAAGAGGAGGAAGAACACGAGTGGTTTATTCTAGATCGAGATCTCCCGCAAGCTATAGACCAAATCCAGGACCAATTTAATGACCTTGTTATCAGTGATGGCTCTACTTTGGAAGATCTTGTGGTCAAGAGCAACCTGAATCCAAATTTAAAGGTGTTTGTTCCTGGGGTGAAGTACTAAACTATTTGAGTAGAATGGGGCCCTCTTTTGGTGGATGTAGCACAATTTCCATACTGTGAAGGCAGTATTAGAAGACTTAATTGTAAAAGCTCTCTTGTCACTGTGTTACACTTATGCATTGCCAAAGTTTTGTTAATCTTGCATGCTTAATAAAAGTGCTGAGACTGTTATTAAGTAAAAAGCTGTCAAACATTTACTGAAAATAGAATTGTCCCTATGGCTTGATGTGAAGGCAGCAAGGAAAGAAGCACCAGTCAAGTTGAGGCGAAGTACCCAATTAAATGACCTCTACATCTTACCTACTTGTCTTTTTTGAGGTTAAACTGGTCCTTTAGAGTTAATTAACACTTGCTCATATCTAAACATTTTTTAAATTAGTAAATCCAAATTAAGCCCAAATGTTAAGGAAATGTTTCATCTCAGACTTCAGTTTGCATTTTCCTCTTTCAAAAAACATCTTTCTCTAAGAAGGCCAGCTAATGATTTGAAATAATTTATTATTAAAAGACATGTCTGTTTACTAAGGTTAAAAGGTAGTAATGAGATGAGAGAGCTATTCATGACTTACATGGTATGCTATTGTGTCAGAAATAGTGAATTCTCCTAGTACTACAGGAGGAGATAGGTGATTGGAGATTTGCCATCTTCTAAGGAATCCACTGGATCAGAGCTATGTCTGTATGAAGTCCAGCATTTGACCAACTCATAGTCAATTGAAGAAGGAAATTGTGACATTCTGATTTAAGTGGTGCTTTTCCTTGCTTTGTTAACTATCACAATAGTCTGCAGCACAATTTTTCTTTTAACAAAGCTAGAACAGTTTTGGCTTCTTAAACTTCATATTTGGGTAGGTTAAGCTGCCATACGTGTTCAGTGTGAATAGTGTTTAAGTTGAAAATATTGTAAAAAAATTATATTTTTTCAAAAATATTTAAAAAAATAAATAATAGTAGAACTGAGCTGATGGTTGTGTTTATTGGATGCTGGCATGCAGATTCATCCAGTGGTGGTATCCATTTTTGTGTGGGCTCAGTGCCAAAGAGCAATCCTGCTGGCAAGGTGTGTATAGAAAGCAGGCCTTAGTAGATTCCATATTGAAAAGTATGCTGCTCTGTGAGTATCTAACTATACTCCTTAAACCTCATTGATTTCCTGAGGCTCTAATGTTGGGGCAGCCATGTTGAGAAACTGTTTGGCCATCATTACACTGACCCTGCTCTATAATCCAACCTTCATTGTGGTTTCTGATCTTCACAAGCCATGGCTGGTCTAATTGGGCTGGTAGCTATTTTGATTCATCAGAACTTTCTCCCCTTCCCCACAACAAGTTTTTATTTATATTTGGTGTGGCACACTGTAAGATAAGCACTTGACTGCTTAACCACTGCAAAGTCGGTGATTTAAACCCATCAGCTGCTTCTCAGAAATCCTTTACAGGGTCATGACTCTGACTCAACAGCATTTAACAACAACACATTTTTATTTGGGCTGGCAACCAACACTTTCCTAGTTCCACATACCATTCTGCCTCATGGCCCTGTTGGGCTCTTGATAATGTCCTTTGTGCTTTTCTTGAATTTGTTGGACTCAGAAAAGTGTTTGTCATTGATATTTGGACCTGTCATTGCTAGTAGTAGTGAACTCAGGTGGCTAGGTAGTTCTTGGATTTTCCCAGCGATAAGAGGTCTCACAAAGAGTAAGAAGGTCATAGAGTTGATTCTGGTTCACATTCTCCCTGGTGGTCCACTAGTGGGGGCACCTATGCCCAGTGGTTTTTTTTAATGGCCACCTTAACTAATTAAGGTGTGGGGAGTCCTGGTGTGGTGCTGTAAGATGGTTGCTGCTCCTCAGAAACCCTGTACTGGGTCACGGTGAGTCAGAACTGACTTGATGGCACTTAACAACAACAAACAACAAATTAATGGTGGTGGTGGTGTGCCATGGAATCAGTTCTGACTCATGGCGACCCTGCATAGGATTTCTGAAGCTGTAAACCTTTACAGGACCATGTTTTTGTTGTTAAGTGCCATCCATTTGATTCCAACCCATAGCAACCCTATATAAGTTTTCTGAGGAGCAACTGGTGAGCTTGAACTGCCTTAACTTTGCAGTCCAGCGCATTAACCCACAGCGTCACACTAGGACTCCTTACAGGAGCATTGTTGTTGTTGTTGTTATGTACCGTGGAGTTGGTTCAGACTCATAGCTACCCTGTACAGGGTTTCCAAGGCTGTAAATCTTCACGGGAGCAGAAAGCCTCATCTTTCTCCCACGGAGCAGCTGGTTGTTTTGAACTGCTTACTGTGAGGTTTGCAGCCCAATTCGTAACCATAGGTATGTTTTATTTTTAAAGAAGCTATGAAGCAGGGACAAGCATATTTGGCTTTTTTTTATCACAGTCACGCTATAATACAATCACTCCCCCTCTATTCTCTTAACAGCACAGTACTGTAAGTGGCACAAATGGTCGTCAGACATGAGGTTTACAGAGCTTTTCTCTGAGAACTACTGTAAATTAGTGCTGTATAATTGGAGATTATACATATAAATGAATTTTAATTTTAGAAGCATTGTAACTTAATGATTAAGACCGACAATTTTAGAGTTCCTAAAGATGAATCCTGTCGTGGTGAACAAGAAGTCATTTGACCTTTTTTGTGCTTCCATTTCCACATTTATAGAATGTCAATTAAGATAGTCTTAGAATTGTTTGAGAAGTTAATGTACATCTAGCACTTGAAAGATAGTTCTTGGCACATAGAGAGTTCTATATACGTAATTGCTGGTATTACTATTAAGGAGTCCTCTAGGCTGAGCTGTCATTGTATTGGAGTTTTTCCTGTCTGAGGGAACATACCATTGAAACTACTTTGATGTTTTAACTAGAAAGACAGGCATCTGTATTACAGGTGGAGATGGGAGGTTTCAGAGCATCATGTACTCAATTTTGAAGCCCTTAGGACAAATGATCACCCTATTGGGCCTATACTGACATAGCTTTAAGGTAACCAAAGTCATCCTGTTTAAAGAAAGCTTTACTTTTATGACCACTATTGTGGTGCTCGGAGTCCTAGTGTGGCACTGTAGGATAAGCACTGGACTACAAGGTCAGTTGAATCACAAGGTCGATGGTTCAAACTCACCAGCCTCCTTGGAAACCCTAAACAGGGTTGCTATGAGTCAGAACCGACTCAACGGCACTTAGTAACAATTGTGGCGTTGAGGATTCGTGGTATGACACTGTAGGTTCAGCACTGGACTGTGACCCACAAAGCCTGCAGTTCAACCCCACCAACTGCTCCTTGGAAACCTTATACACAGTAATGCTATGTTAGAAACTTGTTCCTCAAAAGCATTATACAGGGTCACTATGAGTCATAACCAACTTGATGGCATTTAACAACATTGAAACCACGGAAGGAGTCTTGGTGGCATAGTGGCTAAGCGCATGACAGCTAACTGAAAGGGTTCAAACCCATTAGTGGCTATGGTAGAAAAGACCTGGAGATCTGTTGTAATGACTATAGCCCAGGAAAATCTGTCCTATAGGGTCTCTATGAGTCAATATCTACTCAGTGGCATATAACAATATTGAAAAAAGACAGCTTGTGTAAGATTTTTCCTGTTGTGTTACATCAGTCTTTTCCATACTATGAAATGCTTTCTGTTTAGCATACTAGAGTAACTAGTTGTTGGCTCAGTATCTCCAGTTGACTGCTGAGGTTTACCCTAAAGGGATCAGTATTTCAGCATACTAGTAACATCTGTGACCCATACCAGTTTAGAAGTTCTGCTCAGTCAGTATAAAATGGCTAAGGAATCTCAACCAAAATCCATATATTAACTTTGACCCAGTCCACCTTCTCTTTGAGGACCATGATAGGTCACAAAAATGGAAACTGAGTAGATTGGATTTTATTTTGTTAAAGCATAAAAGTGTTTTGATTATTCAACCTTCCCACAAAAGCCATGGAACTAGCGCATAGCTTACCTTTCCTTGAATTTATTTTTCAGACCTTGGTGCACACAGATCCAGCTTCTCTATTTTCTAGAGTATTTTTTTGAACTGAAAGCTCCTCTTTTGGCCTTGAAAATCCTTTGAAGACTGGACAGATAGGAATGTATTTCAAAAAGGCAAGCCTTTTTACCACGCCCATCCCAAAGGGAAAGTCGTAGCTCTTGAGGTTGATTGATGTCTCACTGTTGGCATGGGCCCCAGCTTTCCACTGTATGAGACCTCGTTCTTCTGGGCTCCCTAGAAGAGAACAGTTGGTTAACTTACAAAAAGGCCAGCAACATTCTGCTACCTCTCCTTTCCACAGATCGGGAATCAAGTGTTTTTCTATTAATTTCTTCTAGTCCAGAAAAGATTTAAGCAGTGATTTCTGACCTCCAATTTGATTAGAATTCTAGAGAACTCTAAAAGGATAGTAGTCATACTTAGTACTTACTGAGTACATAAAGTATACTCTGCACTATTAAGTGCTTTAATTTCATTATTTCATTCTTTTTTGAAAATAGCTCTAGGAGTAGTATGTTGTTACTGTTGTTGTTAGGCACCAAGTCAGTTTAGACTCAACATCCATGTATAGGGCTTCCAAGGAGTTTGAACAGCTGACCTTGGGGTCCAGTGCATTATCCTGCAACACCATATCAGGACTCCAGGAGTAGTATAGGCACTATTATACAAAATTTTAAGATGAAGAAACAGAAGCTTTAAATAATTGTCAACCACAAACTATGAGTGTGTAGGTAGTATGTATCGGCCCCAGGGGCATAAATAGTGCCCTGACTACTTGGGGCGGGGGGACGACAACAAGGAAGTATATTTTGAAACCCTCTAGTGTAGTGGTTACAATCGGGCTGCTAACCTGAAGGTCGGCAGTTCGAAACTACCAGCGGCTCCGCGGGAGAAAGATGAGGTGTTTTGCTCCCATAAAGATTTATAGCCTCGGAAACCCTGTGCAGGGTCACTGTGAGTCGGAACTGACTCCACGGTACTTAACAACAAAAACACTAAGTATGAACTTTATATTTGCAAAATAAAATTTTGTTTTTTAATACAAAGCTGAAAACCAAGCTAAGTAAATTCTTTGGTGGTAGTTAAGTGCTGTCAAGTCATATCTGACTCATAGCAACCCTGTATAGGGTTTCTGAGGAGTGGCTGGTGGATTTGAACTGCCTACCTTGTAATTCAAACTGACCTTGCGGTGCAGTGCTTAAATTACAGTGCCACACCAGGACACAGAAAAGTGATTTTTTTACAACTAGGAATTCTCCCATAGATGTGGGGAAGGAAGTGCATGAGATTGCTGAGGATTTTGTCACCTGGGTTTGACAGGTTATGCAACACTGCAAGTCTAGATGAAGGAGTCAGAGATTTCCATGTGTCAGGTGTAATGAATGAATGGATGTCAGATGAGCCCACAGAGTTGGCAGCCCAGGCTGAAAACCCCATGAGTAGCACAAGACTGAATATACTCCCAAAATTTCAGAGAAGGCACTGGGTCTTCTGGAAGACTACCTGGAAAGGGTAAGTGTGCTGTAGGCTGAGGAGGGGGAAGAGCTGTAGGTGAGGCATGAGAGACTGGTGTTTGATAACCTCACAACAGCTAGCCCAGAGCTCACTCTCTCTAGCAGAAGTAGTGTGCCTACCCTCCACGCCCATACCTTGGATGCCTCCTCTTGTACTTCTCTAAATCCCCTCCATTTTCCCAGACGCTGCTCATCTCTCACATCTAGGAAACCATCATTGACTTTATTGCTCAGTTAAATCCAGTTTTACTTCCTATTTTATACTAAGAACTCAAAACAAACTGATGGGGTTACAGTAGAGATGAAATGAAGTGTATTTGTTGATTGTAAACCTTAGCTCGTTCACAATAAAAAGTTATATATATTT